TGCAAATGCTTTTCTTACTGACCCCAAACTCCCAGAAGGGCCAGACCACAGAATAATTATTCTGCAGTATGCCTCTTAAAGTACCTGATGTGATGGAAATAACTTATCAGTAACAATTAAGAGCATGAGAAGCATTAATTTAAACTTCATGAGCAAAAGAACCCTTTAATCTTATTTTCTCTTGCTTCTGCAAATCAGATCCAAACATGTACATTGTATCTACCTACAGAAGATTATTGGTTTATAGCCAGAATTCTGCAGAACAAGTAAATATAATTATAGCTAGGAAAAAGGACAACATGTATAAACATATCAGGAGTCCTGGGGAAGTGTTTGTATGCATAAAACGTTCTTCGCTTTTAAACAAGTATTTCCACTGATCCATTAAAATACATTGTTTCTCCCTGCCAACCTCTCCTCAAAGCATATATTCACCTATTTCAAAGCCAGTACAGCCTGTCACGTCTGATCACCACTGCTGCACTTCCCAGAAAATGTTACCTGGTTATGCTTACAGTAAGACTGTGCCATTTTTGCGTTTCCAGTGGCTTACATAAAGAAGAAAACTCACAAAAATACATGTTCCCTGACTTTAGCTGAGCTGGTAACTTTGCCTTTGGCATTGCAGCTGCTGCCTTTGGTGGGTTTTCTCCGGTTCCCTGTACAAGTGATATCTGAAAATTCCTCACCATTTTACAGTGAGTCTTGAGCACAGAACCAAAACTCCTGTTTCAAGTAATGAATGGTGAGTATCAGCTTTCAACAGGGGAAAAATGCACCCTTTTTACTTCTGATGGTCTGAAAGACAACTTGAATGCTCAAGTGCCAGAAAAAACCCCAAACAAACCAGCAACCCATCTTACTAAATTCCACCATTTCTAGACCAGTTTCACATCTGGAGGCCTTGAGTCATGATTCTGAAGTGTCCGTCTGCTGCAGTCTTCAGCATTTGACAGACCCTCCCTGCAGAACACCCCAACACGCTCCTTATAAATGAAGCAGGAGCAGAGCAGGAGTTGTGAGGAGGGTGGCACTACATGGCAGAACATGGCACCAGGCATTCTTCAGCTCTGCTTCTCAGAGACACCCCAGATTTCTCCCTAAAAGCCTGCTTCCCTTACTGGCAGTGCTCTGCAGCTCCTGCCTGCAGGAATATAGCAGAGATTTTGGCACCACCGCTGTGAAATCTTGAAGCGTTGTTTTACGGGGAGCCTTCCCCTCCCTGCGCTGAGGGAAGAACAGGAGGCAGAGTCAAACAAAGCTGTTTTTCACTGCCTCAGCCCTCCAAGTCACACATCTCCATGCCCACGCACACTCTCCAGCAAGAGCCTTCCTTGCGTGTACTCAAACAAGCACAGCCCCGGGCAAGGAAAGGAGAAAGGGCCCTCATAATTGTAATTTATCAATATTCATAAAGAACCTGCCTTAACCCCTCTTGTGCACGCTCAGGGAAAAAAAAAAAAAAAAAAAAAAAGAAACCACACAAAACGAAACGCAACCAAAACAAAAATAAAATGAAATAATCATCTCCCTGCTCGTTACCGCAGGGGATTTCCTCTCAATGTCACCACTGCCCTGCGCAGTAATTGGCATTATCTGTTATCTCTGAAGCCATAATAAGGTTTGCCACGGGGTATTTTCTGTAATCATATTTTTATTTGTCAGCTCGCGAGCCGCAGACGGCGGAGCGGAGCCGGGCCAGGCCGCGGGCGCGCGGCGGGGCAGGGGCCGCGCGGCGCCAATGGCGGCTCGCGCCGGTGATGTCACGGGCAGCCAATGAGGCGGCGGGCAGCCCGCCCCGCCCGGCGCTGCAGCATTCCCCACAGACCCAGGGAACGGGCTCTTCCCGAGGAAACCGAGGCCTTGGCACCCGGCCCCGGCGTGGTCGCGCACGGATTCCCGCAGAAAATACAGCCGGGCACTCAACCAGCTGAGGAGAGCTGCCCCGCACTGCGGGGGCAGCGCATTCAAAAGGGGCTGTTGGTTCGCCGGTACCCAGCGGAGGTACCCTGAAGGCCCTGAATTTAGGAGAGCAGACACCCAGAAGGAGGTGAACGGCAGCTTAGGCAAAACCCATGGGTTGTGTCCAGAGAAAACTTCCCAAGCTCGGGCGGCCTTCCGTGGACGTGGGGGAGCTCGGGTCCGTGTGCCGTTGCCCGCTGCCGGCGCTGCAGCACGGCGCGGAGCCCTGGGAGCGCGGCGAAGGGCTGCGGGCACAAGCGCTAACGCTGCATCGCCCAGACGAGTGCTTGCCAGCTCCGGCAGCGAGGTGGCACAGGTCCCACGTAGCATCCCTGCGTGGTGCCACTCGTGCCCGCCAGGGTCCCTGGCGTGGCACGGTGCTATGTCCACACAAAAGTCCTCAGAGGACCCTACAATGCCTTACCCATAAGAGTTCCCCCATGGCCATCCTGCACCACAAAACCCTGTAGGTGACTGCACCACAGAGTGAAGTGCATCAAGTATTCCCCCACTGTTTCCAGTAAATAAAACAAGAACAGGATGCATGTACATTTTTAAAACACACAGCCTCAAGCTCCACACCTATTCTGCCTCCTTTTCTCAGCTGCTTGTTTGAAAACACCTCTATCTCACACAGTAGAAGCAGAAGCTTCTTACTGATGGGAGGGGGATTGGGGAATCCTTTCTGAATCTTTGGTCCAGGAATGCTGATGTATCAAGGCATTTTGAGTAGTGAATGCTGAATGTGGTTACATGCTGCTGTTAAAGTAAGCCACAGGTATTTTGCAGTGTTTTGGGATGTACAGGAAGAAGATGGGACTATTATATGGGTCTGGGGACACTAGGCTATCAATCTATTCTGCCAGTAGGCTGGAGGCATCCACATTTAGTCATTAACCAAAGCAGAAGCCTTCATTTTTCAATGTGGTCATAACTGGATAACCTGGCTGATGAGATGATTTGTCATTTCACTGCCCCACGACAGGACAAGGTCAGGCTTCATTGCTTAGGAAAGCACGTTAAGTTTTACACTCACATATATATTTATGCATGCTCTGATTTTCTGATAACTGTCCAGAATACAGCACAGAACATAACACAGACCACAGGAGTCTCAGAGTGACCTGGAGGCAGAGCTTATGATTTACTGCTAACTTAGCCAGCACTAGATGCTCGTCAGGTGGGAGTTAGCAAGGAGATGGGAGTTACTTTCAAATGAGACTACTGCCCACAATCCAATACCTTTAATGGAGGAAAATGGATTCCTCAAGAGAGACATGCATCTGCCAAGAAAATTTCACATAGCGTTAAACCTGCAGAGATGTTTGTCTGTCTGACAGCCTCACCATGATCCTCTCTCAGTTTATTAAAGTCTCCCAGATCCAGAGGTATCCATAACAAGTCCAAAGGACTAGCATATGCATATATGCATGCTTTAGGAGAAAGTTCTATCCCAATGGAGATTCTGATTTCTCTGGAATATTCATTTGGAAACGTAAATAATTTCTCTTCAGCTGTACTTAAACATTTTTGAGTGTTGTTGGATTGGATCCCTTAAGTGTTAAGCCAAGTAGGGAAGAAAAACATGCATGTATGCAATCCACCAGCGGTTACACTGCCCAGTGTATGTAAGAAATAACAGGTCTACAACCTGCCAAGGATCATGCAGGTTCTAAGGAGGTCATGATCACTCAGTGCAGTTGAATAGCAGGGAGGAAAAACTGTGGTATTCACAGAATAAAACTGGTCAGAGGTCACTGCCAACAGAGAAAACTTAGATCTGCTAGTTAGGGCATGCAACCTGCTCTTGGCTTCTCTGGGAATTTCTCTGACTATTGTAACTCTGCCTGTGTCAGGTAGGCATTGTCCTCAGGACCTTCTCACCCAGATCCACCACCTTTGAACTGCCTCTTCTGCTAAGACTTATACTCTTCTTCTACAGTATACTCCTCTTAATATGTCCTCAAGAAAGGTTCTTCTTTCCCTTTCCATTTATTAGAAATATGCTGTTTTACAGATCACTATTTCCTGCTGAAATGACTCAGAGATGCAGGGGGAGGGGGCTAGAAGAGCAAATTAAATATTTAAACATCCATTTTTGCTGTGGCCATCTGGTTTGTGAGTTTTCAGCACAGAACTGGGGGTACAGAAAATCCCTGTATGGCTACTGAGAAGTAACCACACAGTGATTATGCAAATCCAGCTATTGCAGTATCTCTGAGTGGCCCTTGGTCTCCTGGAGTGGGGGGATCTATGTCTGGCTTCTTTGGAGAAGCAGCCACGCAGACATAATTTAAGTGTTCTCCCCCAGCCAATCCAAATGCAAGGATCTGCATTTGTGAGAAATGAGCAGGCAGTTATGGGTCAGTAGCTGTACAAAAACTCTTGTGCTTCAGGCTGATTGCAGCAACTTGAATTCAGTGTAATTTAAATTATCTTAACTTGAAGATGAAAGAGAAACTGGTCCAATATAAAATGGCACCTGAAAGCACAGGTTAAACCACACTCCATGGTTAAATAATATGACAGAGTTAGTAAGAAAATTCTTCCCTACTGGAAAGGAAATTAAAGGCAACAGTGACTCAAATGCCCACAGGGGACTCAGCAAAGGTTGCCAAAAGCCAGCAGGTTTCCAAGAACTGAAGGGAACCATAAAATGACTTTGTTGTATTTGTAGTTGTCCCAGGTTTCTTCAGGGATTCATTTTGATACAGTGTATGTAGCTCTTATTTATTAGTAAGTGACACAAAAATTGCGGAAATGAAACTCTTTTTCCTTGGTGGTTTTGGTTTCCCTGTTTAAAGCATTCCTTGTGAATTAATTCTTCTCCAGTGAGAAATGATGGACAGTCTTTTCCATGAGAAATCAGTCTATGACTGGTACACTGTCTCACACATGGACAAGAATTAAAAAATACATCACCACTTTACCCAATGCTTTTAGAGCTTTACAAGATCACTTACTTAAAACTTAAAGTAATAAGGTAAGATCCCTTTATTATGTAGGAAGGAACTCCCGTTGGAAATGGCTGTACTCACCATATTGAATGACTATGGCAGAAGTCTAAAGCAGAGATGATTTGTCGGAAGAACTTCCTGGCTTCTTTTGGTGTCAATCTTCCCTTTTTTACAAGATAGTCGAAGAGCTCCCCACCTGACACATGTTCTAGCACCAAATACCTAGAAAAACACAAAGCCAGGATTTTGTAAATATGTGATCACACCAACTCCCTCACACTCGCACAGTTAGATACAAACACTTCTGTTTATATGTAGTCAAGGGGAACACTTCCAGAAATAAAAGTGGAAGAGAAATGGAATTTTAAAATCAGGAGTGATTAATATGTTTAATAGGGGTTCTGCAACTTCAGACCTACCGTTGTTGGCTTCAGTATCCAATGGCATAGCAAGACATAATCAGGAAGCTAAAAAATTACTCCAAAGACCAGGAGGGGAAGCAGGGAATAATCAGGTATAAGCTCCCACAGCAGGTCTCAAAGCTACAGTGGAGTAAGACTCTATACCAAGAAGCCTCAGGTCCTTTAACCAAGCTGACAATTCTTTTATAAAACAGCTGTGGCAAAGCTGCAGTCAGACAGAACCAGACATATGTCAACAAAGCAGAATGAATTAGAGAAAAGGTGAACAATGTACATTATTAAAAACAAACAAACAAGCAAACAAACCACCTACATGTGTGTGCAGCCTATATAAAAGCTTAGCTTCTGCTGCTGAACAACAGTGATTTGCTGAAGCAGCTGCCTGGCCTTGCAACTCACAGGTGAAAAATGTGGCACTGAGTGAACCCATGTGGCACAAAGGGGGCCTAGGAGCCGGAGAGGAAACTCCTGACCTCATATAGCACTCCTGGCAGTCACACAGTGAAGAGTGAAACCTGGAAGGACTTGCCATGGATGGACCATTTTCTTGTTTTAAGTAGAGCTAATGAAAGGCAGCCAAGCAAAAGAAAACCGTATAAATCTCTGGAAATGTTGCCTAATAGTGGGAGTGACAGTTTTCCCAGGGAAGTGGCAGGACCACCACCCACCAACTGAATCCTTTAAAAACAAACAAGTTTGAGTGTCCTTCTCAGTCCCTGGCTCCCAACAGCACAGCAGACCATACTGAACTGAATGTGCAGCATGATTCCTCAACCCGTTGTTTTACAGCAGAATAGTCTTACTACCAGAATTAATCCAACTCCTCAAATTTGAGTGGACAATGAAGAGTAATTAATCCAGGATGCTGTCTTTTCTGTACCTCAAGCAGCATAATCTCCAAAGAAATTTCTGAATTTAAAATGAAAAGTGGGGAAGATTAATATAAATTTGGGGTCTTAATTAGTCCTGTTTTCAAAATTTCCAAAAAGGACAGTAGAAGGACTAAAAGCAGTTGTGAGGAAAGTAAAGCTTGCCCAATGATAATGGCATTAGCCATGAAGTTGCAAAAGTGGGACCTGAGCTCCTGGTCCATCATCATCTGTTCTATGTGCCAGTTCCCACCTACCAGAAGGAGAAAGCATTTCCCTGCCTTACAGAAAGACAGACATTGGTATTGTCTTGCCAGCTAAATAAGTACTAAAAGGATACAAAAAGGGGAAAAAACCATAAAATTATAAACTTGGGGGAATGAAAATTGTACTTTTGCATTTTTTTGATCAAAACGGTTACAAGAAACATAGTAATATTGACTTTTTTAAAATTAAAATTTGTTAAAAATGGGAAAGATCTTAACTTAAAAATCCCATTTGGAATATGTGGGGCATCTTCTTTCCAAACAGATGAGTAGTTGCCCAACTGTCTGCTGGGTACACCCTGGTAATTTGGAGATTACTGTTTATAGACATGACATTTTTTGAGCAAGTCATTTAAAACACAGAAGAAAGCTGATATGCAGCAGCTACGGGCATTGGGGGGTCCACATTGTAAGCCTTGGCTAACGGTCTGGTAAGAAGGTTTGCTGTAGAATTCATTCTCCCTCTCATATTAGACACAGACCTGGCTAACTGTCCAATATGGCAGACCCAATTCTGGCACAGAATCAATCCTAGAACTCTTCTTGATAGTTTGCTGCCTCACTGTGCCCCACAGAAGCTGGATACAGCAGTGCATCTTTCCTCCAAAATTCAAATCACTAGATGCTTCTTTTTCTGGGAGGTGTCTTACAAAGATGATTGCAGTCACAGACACGGAACTGTCCTCACTGGCTTCAAACAAACAGTTTTTGAAAAATACAGACCCAGCATTTCTGTCACCCACAGCAGGAACTGTGAAGCAATTTATTTTCATCAACTTCATCTTATTAAAAACACTCAACAAAAATGCACTGACACGTTGTATGAAAAATAAAACAAATTGAAAGACAGGGAACATTTACAAGGTTATTCATTTTTTGCTTGCCACCTAGAAGCACTAGATATAATAATGGAAATGAACAGGGGAGAGCATTTGAAAAAGATTTGTGCCTATGACAAGTCAAGGGACACAGAGAAGCACAAGAGACGATGTATTCTGATCTGACAAAGCCCCCAACGTGACATGAGTGAGAAGGATGACAAACACATTCCTCAGTGGTTGAGTGCAAGAAAGAAATGCTGCAGGGATCATTCCACAAGCACTACGTGGCTAAGCTGCAGCTAGGATTTGTGAGCTCAGGTTGTTATCTGCCAGCCCTATTCCCTCTAGTGCCTTGTGGGGCTTTTTAGGAGAGCCCCAAAGTAGGAGATTTTCTGTTGAACAAGGGCATAATTCAGCACCTGCCTCCCTATCTGTGCAAGCCAACATTTCTGCTGGCATATTATATGGCACAGTAGTAGTACACTTGTTCTTTCCAAACAAGCTGACAAAGAAGGGTTTAAACATATCCAAGTGTTGCACTGGTTCTAAGCACCACTGGACAGCTACACCACAAACCCCACTAAGTGCTGCATATCTGTATCTACCCATCTGTGTGTATGTGAGTGTGCCTAAGTGACTCCACAGAAAAGAAAATAAACACTCTGAAAAGCCAAACAGAAAAAACAAAGTAAAGAAAGAACATTATTCCCTGGGCTGGAAAATAAGACACACAGACACTACATCTTTCTTGAATTCATGGCACAGAAAAGAACCCAAATCCTCTGTGTTCACATCAGTATCTAAAATCCTTTACTTTGGCAAAGTGCTATAGGATTGGAAGTACGCTAATGCCAGCTCTTGGAGGATCTAGGAGAAGGTAAATAACACTTAGCCTGTAGGGGAGAAAAACACTAAGAAGCATTTTCATGAGTCTCCCTTCCCTTTTATCTTTCCCAGATATGACAGGTTTTCACTTCACTATAGTACTACTTTTCCAATTTATTCTAAGCAAGCAAGTTCTGAAAATCCCAGAACAGTAACCAGAACTTCCCTCCTATTACATTTAGAGATGAAAAGCAACTTACTGGTGAATGAAATTTTGGGGGGTTTTTATCCTGTCTATGTAAGACTGACTGCATCAGTCTTTCTTCCCATTGTAAAAATGTAAGAAAACCTTTTCTGTAACAGCCATTGCAAGGAAGTTCAGGGAAAGGAAAGACCCAGTCTCTGGCTGGCAGAATGCACACTACATGCTGTGATGATACAGACAGGACCTATTTTAGAACAAAAGACTCTCAGAGCACCTAGCTTGCACATGTTGGATGCTCTGGACGCACCCCAACTCTTCCAATCCTTGCACTTCACATGAGAGAAACAAGTTTTAACAGGCATTAATCCCCTGTTCTTTGCTGATAGGGAACTGTGAAGCCAAGTGACTTGTCCAGGGTTCCAGTCACCCACTATCAGAGCTGGCATTAGCACCTGTGGTCCCTTGTGCCTTCTACTCCATGCTGTCCCCACCACCAATTTCCCCTCTGCCTGCTAGGACACTGAAAAGCCAGAAAACAGTGGGGTTCTGCAACTCAATATGAAGCCAAGTGTATGTAATAAATAAAGTCTCAATTACTTTTTCCTCACTGGATATATTCTCTAGCAGGTTGCAAATATTCTCACAGGCCACAGCTCACTTTCATGCACACCAAGGCCCACATTTTGCATTATCTTCTCATGTCCCTGCTACAAGCCAAGACATGAAACTGAAAATCTCTAGTTGAGTTTCAGTGCTTGAAGGAGACAAGACTTTGCTCTTTAAAAGCAAAGAAGCTGAATACTAAATACAAGAATAATTGCTTTGATTGGAGAGAAGCAGAGAGATTGCATCCAGCAGCATTCTATCTATTCCCTTTGCCATTTTTCCATCTGCATCCCATCATCACCACCTTCTCAATAAAAGATTCTGAGTTCCTAACCTCAAATGACCCACTACATATCAGAGATGCAAGCTTAGAATAATCCTAGGCTTTTTTCTTTCTTTCTTTCTTTCTGGTTCATTTTATTTATTCTTTTAGGAACCAAAATATTACATCATCAGTTTTCTTCAACTCCTTTCTGAAGGCTGGTTTTTGCTGTGATGCTTGACAGCAGCTTGGACTTCCCATTCCTAACAGTTGCTTTGTGTGCGGGGTTGTAAACTGGTTTTGTCCCATTCTTATCCAGTGCCAGCACAGCAAGGACTTCTCCATCATTAGATAAATTACTGTTGCACTACACTCCTATCACTTAAAACAAGAAAAACAATAAAAAAAGGACACTTTTCATTACTATTCTCCTTTCCATCTGGTGGACAATGCTACAGCTTCTTAAAAGGTGCCTTTGCCCATGCCCTAGGGAGCTTTGGGGAATAACTCAGAGAGCCCTCACTGAGGCAAGGCAGCTACATGCTGCCTCCAAATCAGAATTGTAACTAAAGAAACCGGCTGGCTCTGAGCAATGCCAGGAAAAATTCTGTTAAAGAAAGACTAACTGGCACAGAGAACACCAAGACCCTGCACTACCAGACACTTCTAGCAAAATAACAACAAAAAAAACCAAAATGCAAACAAACACACCAGTTATGATCTGTAAAGAATGAAAAGCTGTCTTTTAGCCAGTAGCAAAAATGGTGTGAAATGCTAAAATTCTTGCCAGATGGGATGGCTTGCAGCAGCTCATTAGTGGGTATATAGCTCTTGTTCTCTCAGGACAATTTACAAGACACGAACAGCTACACCAATTATACATTTATTATTATAAAAATGTTAAATGGAGAGATGAAAGATCATACTGAAACACAAAGTATTTCAG